ACAACATGAGGAACTGTATTAAAGGGTCACAGCATTAGGAAGGTTGAGAACCACTGCTCTATAAGGCTAGCACACAAAGGAAGCAGGCACCTCAGTTTGCAAATCAGGCTTAGTTCCTCTTTTATACACTCAGTTTGGAAGTCTCCCACAGCCTTTAAGAGTCTACTGAACTTGGACACAAGGCAGTCATTTTCACTGCAGAAACCGTGTGTGAGAAGACCCAGCAAAGTCATTAACATATAGACCTCCTTATGCCCTTCTTCTTGCCTGAAAGTACTTGAAGCCCATGCCTGATCACACCAAATGACTAATGAGTGACCATCCTTTTCCCCCAGGCAGTTCTTAGCAACTATTTAGAGAGAGCAATTTGGAGAGCCAGCTCTACCTGTCCAGGAAGCTTCCACACTGGGGGACTTTAGGGGCAATGTTTTGCAGGCCAGCTTCCTAAGGCATTCCATTCCCAGCAGGAACCATCGGCAGAATTTCCCACACACTGTTAGAATTCCTACCTGACCAAGCTACTAGAAGGTGTAGACATCTCTCCAGATAGTTGGGGAGATCGCTAGCGTGATTCAGGGGCCCTTCTGTCATCCACAATGTCCATTCTTTTAAGTCACAGGATCTTAAAGCTTTTGCTTAAAGAGAGTTTTCCGGGTAATGGCTAGGATGTTTCACAAACTGGGAACTCCACTAGAAAGAAGCATCAGGGGAGGATAAGATATACAGAAAGGAAAGGAAAACTCTATGAGAGAGACAAGGAGCAGATCAACGTAGAAAGCAACCGAGAAGAGCTCTGATCTCTGGAAGAAGTTCTGGTTATGGCGACAAGAAGATAAAACTGAAGAAGTGATTCATGGGGACCTCAAGAAGTATGAGTGTCTAGGGACTCTTAAAGGAATTTCAGTGTGTGTGTGTGTGTGTGTAAAAGGGAGGTAGTTTTTGCCACTATACTCTAGCTCATAATGGCACAATTCATAGAGCCCCCAAAGAACAGGCACTGACCACCCAAGCTGACAAATACACACTGCACCAACTGCTTCTGGCCAGTTCTGCTGGTAAAACCCCACAAAAAATCTGCAAGTAGATGGCAATATTTAGCACAAACGGGAAAAAAGTGCCAGGAGCTAAGAAGTAGTCCTCATCATCCGCAGGGGTCAATACTAGCCTAAGTGGTAGTTAGTGTTGGGAGACATATGGGAAGAGCTTGTCGTAAGTGAGCACTTGGGACAACTGGATCCCAAAAGTCACCCCACACACAAACTCCTCCCAAGCCCCCATCCCACACTAACAGCTGGCCAACAGCCCAGACCAAGCCTCAGGGATGAAAATACTCATTACTCTGATGGATTCCATTCCCCTTGAGCTGGAATTTAAAACTGCCAAAATATCTCCAGGCTTATTTCAATTTATCTAAGTCTCAAACAGTAACGTTGCTATACCAAGGAGAGGGAGTGTGGTGGGATCTGGAGACTTGAGATTGCTTCCTCCGTCTTCATGCCCTGCCCCAACAGGGGCAAGTTTGTTTTTTGTTTTTTGTTTTTGTTTTTTTGGTTTGTTTGTTTTGTTTTGTTTTGTTTTTAAGATTTATTTTATTTATCATGTACACAGTGTTCTGTCTGCATGTACCCCTGCCGGCCAGAAGAGGGCACTAGATCTCATTCTAGATGGTTGTGAGCCACCATGTGGTTGCTGGGAATTGAACTCAGGACCTCTGGAAGAGCAGCCAGTGCTCTTAACCTCTGAGCCATCTCTCCAGACCCCAGGGGCAAGTTTTTAAATAATTGGATTTGGGAGGTGGGTCCACTTATGCTGCTTCAAAGGAATACCTATCTGAGAGAGAAATGGCTTCACAATCCAGTCAGCAAGTTCTTCTCATATTTAAAATCACAAACACAAGTTGGGCATTGTGGCACACACCTAGAATCCCAGAACTCAGAAGGCAGAGGCAGGAGGATCACTGCAAATATGAGGCCAGCCCTGTGGTCAACATACCCAGTTTCAAGCTACTCAAGATTAAATAGTGAAACCTTGTCTAAAAAAGTTGAAAAGAAATTACAAACACAAAAACCCTCTGACTGGGTTAATATCAATCTATCTCACTCCATACTTTACCAAACATTACAAGAACTGAGTTTACAACAGAATTATTCACATTTCCAAAGGGACCTCCTTCTGGGTTTCTTCAATAAGAGCAACTTTCTAGAAGGACTTCATAATCAAGGCCCACTTGCATTTTTTTTTTTTCAGAGCTGAGGACCAAACCCAGGGCTTGCCTAGCAAGCGCTCTACCACTGAGGTAAATCCAACCCTGCATTTTCTACTAAACATGTCCTTAAAGCCTCAACTGTCTCTCTAGCTGTCCCCATGCTATTATAAGGAAAAATAAGACAATAACCAAAAATCCTCCTCCATCATCAAGCATTTGATAGTAAATTCCTATTGATAATATCTTAAAAACATAGAGGGGTTGGGGTATTCCTAAGCACAATAGGCTTAGCATTGTTTTCCAAAGTAGGCATTTCTAACACAAAGGCAAAATTAAGGTACAGTTGATTCAGTTGGCTTGATCAAGATGAAACCCAGCCCCCCTGCACACATGACATGAAGCCTAGAGTGGAATGGACCACTTTTGGAAAGAATCTTCTAAAGGAGGCAGCAAGAGATAGGATCTAGGAATGAGGAAGGAGTCACTGACTTTCGCTGGCTGTCGTCACTGGCTGGCTGAGCACTGGGGCTGGTGAGCAATAGAACAGTCACATATCTTCTCCTGACAGCAGAGCAGGAGGTGAAGTGCTGCTGAGAACATACAAGGGTGGGGTTTCTCAAAGCACTTGTGTGTGTGCACTTGTTCATGGTCCTGGGGCATCTCCATGGCAACGAGAACACCAAAGACCTTTTTGTTTCCATGGGTTATACCCATCGATAGTTACTGTATTCAAAAAACAAAGAAAACAGAAAAAGTAACTTCAGATATTTACTCATTCCATTAAAAAGAATAAAGAGAGGGGTGAAGGAAGAGGAAAGAAAATTCATGAAAGGAGGAGCATCATATAAGAGTCTGGCAAATTCTCTAAGCTGGCCCAATAAAAGACAGCTGGACTCCCCTGTCAACTACTGCAATTGATTTGTTGTGTTATTAATATTTCAGATCACTTGGACTCAGTTTCACCACAGTCTTGAACAGATCACTTGGACTCAGTTTCACCACAGTCTTGAAATAATGCGAATTAAAAGGGTACAACAACATCTTCGCATCCTTACGAAAATGGGTTCGATCTTGCAGACCTCTAAGAAAGCCTTGGGAACCCCTCTGGGTATCCAGGCCACAAAGGAACGCCTGCCGCATCACTTAGGAGCAGTTACTATCCCACCAAACAAATGAGGAAACTCAGACACAGAGAGGTCATACAGTGGCAGGTAAAGGACACCGTGTGACCACCTGGTTTGGAAGTTGCAAGGGTGACCTGAGTCATGGAGGGGAGGAGCTGGCTTACCAAAAGAGCTGGCGACAGTATTTGCCACTAGCAAGCGTGCAAGGGGTGGGGGATGTTGGGGAGCTTGGAGGGGCACGGAGATGGGGACTGGAGAGAAGCTGGAGGATCCGTCCCAGACTTCTGAAGGTCATTCGACAGTGGACAAGAAAAACAAACTCCCACCAGGTGCTGCCTGGAACACGGGGTCCTTCCCTCAGACCCTGCTCCTGCCTACAGAAGTCAGCAGCTTTAGGCTCCATAGAAACTCGGGGGGGGGGGGGGGCATTCCACCTCCATTAAGCAGATGAGCTGGCTGCCCGGGCACTCTGTCACCTTGTTCCTTGGGAAACTTGAGCAAGCCAAGAGAACTGCTCCATTATTTAGAGCTGCCTTTTTGCACTATACTGTCTTTACCAGGAACCCTCAACAAATAAAACGGGCAGGCAGAGAACCACACTGACATCCCCTGGGCTCCCTGTCCGGGTGTTTAAGCACTGGACTGCTGTCCTCCTCGGTCTCCTTTATAAATTCACCCAGTGCTGCTCTCTGCAGTGAGTCCAGGGCGCGTCTGCAGGAGGTCACTTCTCTGAGAATTTGGGAAGTGTGCGCAGTTGAGGAAGTGGTACAAGCTGCTCTTCCAGTAACTGTCCCAGCAGAAAACAAGCCAGCGCGAAAGGAATCTCAGGTATTGCTTCCACCCAGACAGAACTGAACATCCACTTCTGAGTGTAGCAGGTCTCCCGGCTTTCATCTTCACACACACACACACACACACACACACACACACACACACACACACACA